AGGAGGAGTTCATCACCACCAAACCAGTATTATATGAAATGCTGAAAGGTATCCTTTAAGAAGAGGAAGAAGAAGAAAAGGGTAATACAAATTATAGATACAAATTATGAACAACAAATACGCATCTATCAACAAGTGAATCTGAAAATCAAGTGAATAATCTGATGAACAGAATGAACTGGTGATTATAATAGAATCAGGGGTATAGAAAGGGAGTGGATTGACTATTCTTGTGGGGGAAAGGGGTGTGAGGGATGCGGGAAGAGACTGGACAAAAATCATGCACCTGTGGATGAGGACAGTGGGTGGGGAGTGAGGGAAGAGGGTGGAGTGGGAACTGGGTGGAGGGGAGTTATGGTGGGAAAAAAGAGGAACAAATGTAATAATCTGAACAATAAAGATTTAATTAAAAAAAAAACGCAATAAAAGGCAATCAAGAGGACGGGAGAAAATACTCCCAAATCATATGAAGGAATCTCTTGGAGATCTTGTGGATTTGGCTATGATCAGCAAAATAAAGCTAATATTGCGATATGGACAGACATTCACACAAATAGTTGGAGTTCCCTGGGAATAATGAAGGTATGTTAATACTATACTGCTGGCTAAGAACAATGCAATGACTCTGCCTCAAAAGCTAAGTCGATATAACTTCATTAACAATATTTAATTGCTAAGCACTAGTAACAAGCACCTGAGCTTGCTAGAAACATGGTGGCACTAGACCTGCAGAAAGCAGAGTTGCCAAAAACATGGACTTTGGAGAAAAGCGGGTGTGGGGGAGGTATATCTGCTAAGCACAATTAAGCACATGCAAACATATGTGTTCCTGTATGTCATAAGCAATTAATATATAAAATATACAAGGTATTCAAAAGATTCTTTAACTAAAAAAAATTAGTTAATAAACTGGATAAGGATGCAGAGGCAATTTTTCAAATAATATTTACACATGACAAATAGGAATACAGAAAATGCTTTCTTTCTTTCTTTTTTTCTTCAGAAAATGCTTTCTTCACTACTTAAGGTGGAATCCCTTAGATGTCTACAACACTACCAACCACAAGTCCTTCCCTGTGAATTTAGTGGAGCGGGGAGTATTGGGACTTCAGGAATAGAAGGGAGCAGTGGAAACAGAACAACCCTCCCCAGGACAGCAACTACCCTGAAAACTGGAAAAATCAAGCAGTACCACAGTCTACATGGGAGGACAGAGCACACCCTGGGGGATGGGGCCTAGGAAATGGCAAAGCCGAGTCCAGGTCACTGGTGAGAGTGAGGGTCTTACCCAGTGAGGATAGAAGTTCAAAGTTCTCCAGCATCACATTGAGGTACAGCTGTCTCTGACCCTCATCAAGGAGGCTCCATTCCTCTCTGGAGAAGTACAGGGCAATGTCCTCAAAGGTAACACCAACCTGTTAAAATCGAGACAATTGAAACCAGAGCTGCGTTTCTGAAAACCAGTAATGCTACTCCTTACACTCCTTTCCCACCCTCAACCTCCTCCAGGGCACGAGGTTACTGTGGACTCCAGGCCCTAATGCCAGTGCAGGCTGCTCTCTCATCACAGTCCCATTACTCACTGTGATGGCCCTCAGCAGAGCAGCTGGGTTGGGTGGGAAGAATTGGGGGAAACATCATCTAAGGCAGCTCTGGGCCATGCCTGCAGGGCCCCAGCCTTCCTGCCAAGCAA